AGATTTACACACTGCGGCATCGGGGCAATGAATAGGATTGGATGATCAGTGTAAAGTCAACAGCATCAGAAACAACGTGGCCCAAAAAGCTGAATCAAGTATACCCATGAGAAGCACAAGAAAAAAAACTGTCAGCTGTCACATGTTAATGACTGGTGCGACTTCTTGAAACAGAATTCAAACACCAATGCATGACGGGAATAACAGCGCAATGTGCCAGTTTTTTATCAGTATAACTCACTTACGCTGTAACATCTAGCATTGTTTTTTTTATAAGTTAATCACTAAAGTTCTTTCAGTTAAGTTTGGTTGACAATACAAGTTCAATTCGTATTGAAACTGTCATTGCATGGGACATATCTGTTCAAAATACGAAAATATTAATTTAAACCTATCATTGTTAATATATTTTCAAACAATTGACCCCAAAAGCAATGAACTTTCAGTACGAATTAAAGTTGGCCTGGTACCTAAATCTTGCAGTGTTGTGACCTCAAACCCTGATTTGTATTTGAGCAGTTAATGACCCCCCCCCTTTGTTATGACTATATGATGTCATATAATTTGATTATATCTAGTACCCAAGTATCAATCTGATCCAGGCATCTTCTTGGTGTCTAAACCTGGTTAAGTCTGGTCCTGATGCATTTACGCAAATCCTTTCCTTCGAGTACCCCCTACTCTGGAAGCTATCAAACATCATGGACAATAGAGCAATAATAATACTTTTAAAAATAATAATATTTTTAAAATAGTTTTATGTATATTTAAGATCTCTTCCAAAAAGGTGATTTAAAAAAACAATTTAAAATACTCAATAATGGAACATCCTCCAGAGATCACATACTAATAATCAGGCTATCTTTTGTGGCATGTGAAATGCATGTTTAAGGACATTACATTTATGTGAAATGAAATGCATCATCATCTTTTCCTTATCTCCTTGTGGAGAACAGGGCCAGCATCTCTCCTCCTCCATGCTTCTCTGTCTATGAAATGCACGTGAAATGAAATGAAATGAAATGCATGTGAAATGAAATGCATGTGAAATAAAATGAAATGCACGTGAAATGAAATGAAATGCATGTGAAATGAAATGCATGTGAAATGAAATGAAATGCATGTGAAATAAAATGAAATGCACGTGAAATGAAATGAAATGCATGTGAAATGAAATGCATGTGAAATAAAATGCATGTGAAATAAATGAAATGCAAG